GCAGAGACTAAAAGGTCTCGAAGACGACGAGCTGCAGTGGAAACTGAGCATGAAGAGATCCAAGTTGTGGCTTTGGGAAAGAATGCCGCCTTTGTCCAGAATCAGACCTCAACGTAGAGACAAGGGCTCCCTTGTTTGTTATTTTTAAACATCTCTTGGTTGTGAATGTGATCCACATCACTGTGTTTTAAGATAAACTCAAGTGACTCCAAATAAAAAGATTGCACGTTGAGTTTATGTGGCAGGTTTGACCTGTTTTGCAAAGCTGAGCTTTAGGAGATGAGGTTTTGTAGTATGAAATGCATTTCTAGTTAGGTTTGGAAACTAACATTTTTTCCTGAATTGGTAAATGGAGCAAACAGTCCATAGAAAATTCAATCCGAAACAAGTTCTAATTGTCAATTCATTGTTTTATTTTTTAAACAAATCTTACATGTGACTTTTTGTTTTCTTAATGCTTTTACACACATAAAAGCCATGAAAATAATCTGTGCTTCAAAAATGTTTTTCTGATTCACGCTGTAGCCGTTCACACCGAGCACATAATTACGCTGGACGAACTTACGGCATTTATGTTTTTTAAACAAAGTTCGATCTTTTCACTAAATTTGGCCATTGAAGCTCAAAACGCACCTCAGCGCTGAATACACAGTGATATAAAATAATACCATCTTCCCCCTGACAAACAGCCAAATGCTGCTCTGGGTTATTCGGTTTCTGAAATTATTATTCTGTCTCCTCAGATGTTCTTCTAAATAAGCTAACAAGAGCTCAGCCTGCCCCACTGACATCCTGAAATATGTGCAAAAAAAGCAGTCGTGATACATCTTCAGCTCCTGGATCAAACCATGAAATTCTCCCTGCTGCTGCCTTCTCGTGAGAATTGAATGAACTCAAATTCTCAGTTTCCTTCTTTAGAAACATCAGGAAAAACTCATCAGCGCTCTATGCCGACCTGACCACAGTGTGTTTTTCTTTAAGGACAAATGATTTATAAAAACACAAAACCTTTGGTGTGTGCACGTTTATACACGTTACAGGACAAATTCAGATGGAAAAATTGGAATTACAATTTCAGTGGTTTCAATAAGTCAGCTGTTGTAAAAATGTGAAAACCTCTTTAACCCAACACACTGGGCATTTTACACCATTTTAAAACTCCTGCAAATATCTGAGGTCATTTTGCTAATCATAAAGTGTGAGGATACGCTGCTTATTGCTTCTATAACTGACAGTGACTCAAATGCATGTGGTTTCAGACTGTTGATTAAATCATTTAAGCCCACTGTTAGGCTCTGGGAAGTTTTCACAAGTTCTTAATATTTCAATGTCTAAACTATTTCTTGGAAAAAAGAAAAAAATATATCTCTGGGCAGGTTAATTAATAACAGTGGTAGTCAATGTGACTTGCTCTGTTCGGGCAACCTGCCATCTACTCAAACCTCACTCTGCAACTGACACAAACTGAGTAATTCCAGGTGTTCAAGTTCTCCTCAGCACCCACAGATGAAGTGAGCAGCGGTAGTGCTGTGAGCCTATGGACGTGCCAGCCTGCATCAATCATTCCCGACAGGAGCAGACCTCCAGCGCAGCATGGCCTAAATGCTTTAGAGCTTTGGGCTTGTGGCTTCATGTTGTGGGTGTAGCTTGGTCAAGTCGGGGAATAAACACCAGCCAAGAAAAACCTGGAGATCCTCTACCTGTCAGTTTGGCAGAGAGCGAGTAATGATTTTTGTGATGCTTTTGTTTTCTACGAGTTGATTTAGCTGGCTTTGCTTTCCCCTTTCTACTTCCTTTTGTTGACTTTTTTCTCTTTTCTTTGTGTTTTTCCCTCCTGTCAGCTGTTCTGTTGTTTCTCTGCCAGAGCTGCAAATTTTACTTGAGCTATTTGTCGACTTTATAATTCACACAACTCCACAGTAAAGTTTTGCTAAGAAGCACAAACTGAAATCAAAGGCAACATGAGTGACTGGCTGGGCCACACAGCCTTGGTGAGCAAAGGCAGCGAGGGGGTTAATGCTGATTGTCACTGTTTGCTTTGCCTGAGCTTCTGTTTAATGCCTACTAACTCTGCTCGTATCCCTGAAATACACAAGCCTGAATTCCACCGCAGGGCCAAACAGAGCCGCTGTAAGGACAGCTTACTCAGTATTTTCGCTCGTGTTCTCGCAAGACAAATGCTGTGATTTTTTTTTTTTTGGAACTTCCTTCCACCAGAGATGATTTGTCAGCTGGGCAGCGGCTTCAGAGAAATGAACAAGTGCTTTTGATCTGGTTTTAGGGACGTTTGCGTTGGTGCCAGCTATGATCCTGTTCAGCCTCCTTCGACTCATGCTACAGTGGAAAAGAGATAGCGAAAACACCCAATGAGCATCACAAAACACGTTAGGCCACCAGAATACAAACGGGAACGTGACATGTTCAATCATGTTCCTCCGTTGCATTCCTGACTTTAGTAATCCATTCCTCCATTTTGCAGGAGGCGAGGGCCACTGGCAGTGTGCAATATTAAAGAAGGGATTATAGAAGTTGAGTGTGTGGGGGTAGGAGCGTGTTTTCTAACAAAAGTGTCTTGTTTGTGGATTAAAGCCTCCAGTGCCCTATGACTAGTGCTGAGCAAATATTAAGTAGAGGGCCTGCCAAGAGGGTAATGTAAATTAGAAAACAAATAATGCATTCAGAGCAAACACTGATTGTCTTAGCTAATGCTTAGGTGGACTGGGATGTAAGCAACTCTCCAGCAATCAACACTGCCACACAGCACACTCTGCAAAGCATACCCATGCAAATATTCAATTTTTATTAGCTGTAACTAAAGAGGCAGAGGTCTAGGCACACACTACTTGGTATGAATTATTCATCAACGAGGAATTCAGGGCCACAAGTTAACGTGAGGTTGTTTTTTTCTTTCCAGAGAACTACAGTGTGTGTGTGTTGGCTGATGAACCTACAAAACCAGATAAAGGAATTTAAAAAAGGGAAGGAAAAAAAGATAGGAAAGGTGCCAGATGCTTGAGCAAGTATTCAAAGCACAGCACAAAGAAAAGATGATCACTAGTAAAAGTACCAAAATATTGCTACACTTACTGTGTAAATCTGTAACCTTTTATATTTCCGTCACCTTTTTATTTTGCTTGAATTTATTGTTTCTTTAAGAAAAAATTCAAGTTAAGCTGTGAAAAATACAGGACAAAAATAATAAAGACAATGCATTTCTTTTGTTTTTGAACAGTTGAAAAATTTGCTGTTTCCCCCCTTTTTTTTTTTTGTTAATTTGACAGCTTACATGTTTTGTTTTTAACTTGAAAAAAAGTAATTCATTTCAAACCACTCATGTCACTCAAAGTATGCCATTCAAATTAAAAACAAAAAACATATTTAATCAAGTGCCACATTAACAGTACTTTAATCCTCAGGCAAGCTCTGCAAAAATACACTTACTACTCAAATGAAAGCAGTCGCTCCCATTTCCTTCCATCCATCTCATGTAACAAAGGTCTGAACCTGTTCTGTCTTTTCAAAGCTTACCATGGCCCATCTTTATGCGTGCACTGCAGTTCTCAACTTCTTTAGACCCAACAGAGGTGAAGCCAACAAACGCCCATTGGATAAGACACCAAGGGGTCTTTAAACCAGCTTCCTAGAACAATGTCTGTGTGCAGTCCAAATGTGTCTCACAGTGAATTCATAGCAAATAAGTGTGAGAATGCATCTATAGCAAATGTCCTATTTTGTGACACATATGATTAATAACACATATTGAAATTCAGGCCTTTACGTTCTCACAAAGCATAAAGCTTCTTAAATAAGCAAGAGATTACCTCAAGTTAAAAATTCATTGCCCAAAAGAAGGAATGATGAAAACCATACAAGCAAAAGCAAATATTGTTATTTCAAAATCACATCAGCCAAGAATTTCACTACAACTCAAGTCTATGTGAAACAAAACAAAACAAAGAAAAAGAAATTGATGGTGAAGAGAACATCCCCATTTTTGCTTCTATGCTGTCATTTGACAGGCAGCCAACATCTCAACTTCAAATTAAACCCTGAAGCTCTCAGTCGACTGTCTGACATCTCCCCTGCCTCGGCAGCCTTGCATTCCCCTCCGTTATACAACAAGCCTGGGCGTCTGGAATGTCATTCCACATGCATCACCAGCTTCTCATTCTACCAGCCCGGCAGCCCACCGCCTTAGCCTCGGATCCACTCCGCTGCCTGTGTGAACCAACGCAACACTTAATCTGTACCCCTGGTCTGAGCTGAAGGGAGTGAGGGATGGAGGAGTGGGGGGTCTCCTCTCCTCTTTTAAGCTGTTTAACTGAGTAAGTGGTAAGAGGGCACACTGGCTTTTTTAACCCACCAGACCCTTGAGAAGGACAAAGATTAAACTCCTCAGATATGCAAGACTTCTGACCCAGCACAGAGAAGGAGGGAGTGGGAGGTCAGATGGATCTTTGGCTACAACTGCTAAAGTGAATGAAAACCGCATCCAGGCTTTGAAGCCTTTACCAACATCCTGTCAGAGCCGAGTTTGATGATCCAACCTCACCTTGCAAAGATAAACAGAATTCCTTAGAGTAACAGCATGGTCCACACCACATGCATATTCCAAACCTTTGCCCGAGCACATCTGAAATAGGCGCTGACAACGCATCCAAGAATGTGTAAC